TAATCATTACATAATGAGCAACCCGCTTAGTTCCTCCCACATATCCACTTACTACGACTAGGTAGGTAATAGGTATAATGGTACTAGGTATAGTTGCTGATATTTACAATAATGGCTTTGTACTATCCTTATACGGGCTTGCGACGGATAGTCGTAGCTCAGTTATACTATATGTATAATATTGTAACGTCTCCTCTTCACCTGGGGGTCGCACCCCTCGGTGTAGTTCTGTTTATATTAACGAGGTCTCGGAAACTCGACCTCGGTGTGTGACATGTTCGTTACAATATTAAGAACATAAGATTCAGTTTTATGATAAAAATATTAACTACTCGACATATATCGATACAACTATACATATTGTGTTGTAAAAACCGAAATCTCTACTGGAAGTGTTTGCGTACATAAAAAATATATAACAATTAATATGTTACGACTCTGCCGATTTCAAAACTGGTGGAGCTAAACACACCCGATCCACCTCAAAGTATAACGCTCAGGACCACGATACCATACTAAGATAAGTGAAGTCAGATCACCGTAACCCAAGGTTTTTTGTAAAAAAAATTTTGAACGACATTTCTGTATCTGTGGCCATTGCAATTTCTAGAGATTTGCGCACACGATCTTCGGTTGTTCTGCAGTCATATCCTGATATCGGACTGTACGAAATTACCGTAGAGGTACACACAGCCTATGACCTATAATTGTCGAGTACTTACATACTAATATTATATGTGTCAATGTACATCGAGTATTGTAATATTTGAGTAAAACTAATAGTGTTCGGGGTGTCTAATGTGCTCCACGCTCCACGAACGGGAGAAAGGGTAAAACGCTGATTAAAATTGGTTAATATAGGACGTTCAAAAGTACTCAAAAGACCAAGGTCGAATTCCCAAGTGTGAGAGGGGTTGTCACCCATAATAATAATACGTCACTGAGTGTTTACTTACTACACGAAATGTATATAATATTATTCTTCGGCGAATAAAGGTTAGAGTCATACAATCATATAATACATTTTTATTTCGATATTTCATATTGTTGTGTTGTCATACCGACTATACTGTATAGTATATATTATTATAAACCATCACTATATATATATTATGTTCCGTTGAAATGGCAGTGGTAGTGGCCGTCGTATTTAATTTGTTTTCATACGCGCCCCGAATAAAACGTTATCATTGTAGCTGACGTTTATATAAAAATAATAAATGTCACCCTTGTTTTTATGAATTCTTTAGTTTCAAAGTGTTTTTCATTTCGTTATTAATTACTCTTTTCGTTTAAAGTAAAAGTTGATCGTTATTTGTGTCACATTTTCGAATGGATTTAAACTTTGGATTATTACCGAATTTGAGTTTTTTTATTTTTATCAAAAATGATTGTTATTATTTTTTTTTATATATTTTCTAATCAAAAAACGATATTCAAAACAGGCATTTACTTGAAATATAGAAGTGCCACTTTTTAACAGTCCTGTTTACTTTGAAAATAATAAAAATAAAACCTACACAAAAGAGTGAAATGTTTTTACAAACGTTTGGAATCTCATCCCGAATATTCTTATTAAAAACTGTCAACTTCATTTACATTTGTTGAATTCACTATTCACCCAAGTGACTAAAACATAACTGTGTCGTGATCTCTTATTGAGATATCGTGAAATAATAATAATACAAAAAAATAGAGTATAACGTGTTATTGTGGTCGGTGTTATTTATCCAAAAACAATGTGTGTAATTCTAACTCATACCATGTAAAATTCATCTATAGTACCTATTATAATTGTATTTTTCTTTCCAAAATAGTATAATTACCACATATTATTTTTATTTATTCGTTCAACGTTTTTATGAAGTTCCATTTTCAGGCTTTAAGTTTAAATACTAATCGAATAATGAATTTAAGAGTTCTGTTAGCAGGTCTGAAATAGAAGAATTTAATTTGAAATTATATTTAACTAATATTTTACAAAAAGATAAATATATGAATAAATAATAGATTAGATTTATTAACATGGATGAACAATAAATTAATTCATGAAGAAAATCATGTACCTATGTAAGGAAATGATATAAATGGTCTATCTTTTTTAAAGAAATCGTGTTTAATATATTATATTATTATACTAGCTAACTAGCTGATCCTGTGCACTTCGTTTCCCGTTAAATGTACCAACTCTATATGACTCAAACTTTGTTCAATTCGTTATTTAATATTCGGTGTATGGTGTTAAAAATTTATCTTAACAGTTAAGATTAAGTTACTTTTCGGTTGCCTGGAATAAAAATTCTGATTTGCAGAAGTATATTATTAGGTAGGCAATCTACCTTACCTCTACCTATCAAGGACCCCGTGCTGTTTGTACGTAACTTTATAATAGGTACAACTAAGAGTTATAATATAACTCTAAAGTATTAAAGTTATATCAAGCATGTCACTGAACTCCTTCTAAACGGCTGGACTAATTGTGAATGCCGAGTCTGTAGACTAATATTTCCTCCCCATCCACGAAGTGGCATTGTTTTATGTACGTAATTTATATGTGATTATAATACGCTCAATATTTACGTAATTGCGATTCATATAATATCAAAACATAGCTTACAAAAAAATTGAATGCATTGAATTAATAGGTACACTGATTTCACGGCAACCAATAATTATTGTTATAATAGTTTTAAAACATATGGAAACCATTTATAATTTATAACGTAAATCTCTAAATCCCTGTATGAGCACATCCCCTGGTTGGACTTAGGCCCTAGGGGAATGATTTGTGAATCTAAACAATCTGGGACGTCACCCAAACGCATATAGAAAAATTCATTGAAATCGGTCCAACCGTTTATTAAGAGTTCAGTCACAACACACGTACAGTAGAATTATATATTATATAAAGATTATATTATTATTTATTGTTTGTTTTATTATATTATTTTGAAAAAAAAAAAAAAAAACTATAATTTTTGTTTTAGAGCATCTTAAATTTCAATATTATTTTAACAATAAGATGAAAAATGATTTGTTTTAAAAAAAGTCTTTGAACACTCCTATGTGTTATATGCCCACCACTATAGAGACTATAGAGACGCTTGTTTTACAGAATATAATAACGCCTGTATGTAGGCGTCTTATCTTAGATATTTGGCTTATGCGCGACAAGACTATAGTATCGGTCCTGTCGGCAATTCAGTCTAGAACTCGACTCATTCGAGCTAAGTAGTGAGCTTGTAGTATAAATCATATTTTTTAAAACTAATAAAGTATAATATTCTCATATAAATCTAAAACGTGTATTCTTGTTATTAATAAACTATTAAACAACATTTGATTATCCCCCGCTACGCAGAGAACGGTTTCAACAAATTGTCGTCTTCGGATACAACCAGAGACACAATATAAAATATAACAGAACATCACAGGCATACGCAGTGGCGTTCATAGCATTGGTGGCAGCGGTAACCGTTTTCATTTTCTTTTCTCTGAAAGAAATTCTGTCTAGTGAGTGATATATTCAAATAATTATTATAAATAAAAAAAAAAGTGAACACGAGTGAACATATTCGGGGGCGCTTTTACCTAAAGATTGGTGAGGAAACTATTCTATAGTCCCCGATATTTACGTCACACGCATCTACAATTACACCGTAGGAGGTGCTACTTGTTTTATACCAACTACGTAAAAAACGGGATCACCATATTTTATCGGTCATTATAAATACACAATCAACGCCTATTGTCAATACCAATACGCACATTTGTACGATAAGCTACACTACATTTCGTCTACATCGATTAATTAGTAAACAGAAATTAATTAATCGTTCAAGTTAAACAAAACCCACCAGTGTGGTCTCCGCATACCGGTTTCGGAGCGTAGAACTTCAAACGAAATAACTTGAAGACCACGTGAGAACGACACCGAGATACGTGGCGAGTTCAACAAGGGATCCAGATAATCTGTCAAAGAAGCCAATTATTATGCAGTTCAGAGTAATAACAAAGACCGTCATACTGTAAGTAAAAAAAAAATAATAACATAAATATTTTTATATTATAATAATATTATTATCACTAACTTGAATAATAGAATAAAATTACTGTATTTTTTATTTTATCTTGACCTACTGACATAGTAACATAATTGTAATTTTTTTTGTCGTTTTGTTTTGTTGTTATTATACACTATAATAACAAACTAACACTTTTAATGTATGTCTACTCAATCAAGTAGTGGTAATAGTAGCAGTGATAGGAGCCCAGATACATTTACAGTAAATAAAGGTTATAATACTCCTATATCAAATAACTTTGACGATAATTTAAAATATACTGGCCCAAATACTAGGTCACGAGCACACCAAAATAAAAGATACCATAGGAAATCTAGAAGTGTAGAATCATTATTCTCTGATACTAGGGGAAATATATCAACTTCAGTACCTTCGGATCAAATAGGTGAAGAAAATACACCAAAACAAATAAATAAAAATACCGAACTACTCGGTTTAAAATTTTTGGGGGTGGATAATTCGTGTACCATTTCCAAAATGAACAATACAGTTCTTTCATTAGAAACAGCCATTAAATTGGTTCCTTTTTTCAATGGTGAAGATTCAGCTGATATCTATCCTTATCTTAGCGCATGTGATTTCGTAATGTCTAATGTCGATAACAACATAAAGCCAGTTTTGTTACAAGCTATTCGTACAAAATTAAGTAAAAAAGCTTTTGCGATAACTCAACATCGTGATGTAGAAGATTGGGCAGGACTTAAACATTTACTCGAATCAAACTTTTGTGCCAAACGTACACCAGGGTATCTACAACTTGAACTTACATCAACAAGACAGTCTCAAAGAGAGTCAGTTCATGACTACTCTACAAAGGTTGAAAATCTACTCAATGAATTATGTAATGTGAGCACAAAGGGAAAATCAACCACAGATGCCACAGCAATACGTACGTATATAAAATAAATTACTTTAATGACGTACGTAGAAGGATCAACAAATTTACCTCATTTAAGAACAGTGATTAAATCAAGAAACTTTGAAACACTGGAAGATGCAATGAAGGCAAGTCTTGAAGAGCAGAAAATTTATCAATCATCAAAAGAGACTCAACGAATACTTAAATTAGGAAACCAATGCAGAAATAACAATCAAAAGTATTGCGAAATTTGCAATCGTAATAATCATTTTACAAATCAATGTAGATATGGAAATCGCGGTCAAGATACTGGCCAACAAAATTTTCAATCAAAAGTACATTCAAATCTAAATAATAAAGATGTGAAAAAGATAACATGTGCTTATTGTAATAAACCAGGACACTCCGAAGATATATGTTACAAAAAGAAAAAAACAAATAAATCCAATGGACAGTTTTCGGGAAACGGTCCAAGACCGAGTGGCTCGGGCAACCAATCGGTCAAAACATTAAAAACAATAGCCTTAAACCTGCAAGAACCTTGTCATTCAAAATCAAATTAATTGATAATCATGCTTTATATAAAATTCCACTATGTACAAAATATATCGTAAAGCTACTTGTAGACACAGTGGCTGATCTTAATTTAATAAAACTAGGTGCTCTTCACGATGATGTTCAAGTATCAGACACAAAAATATTCATGTTACAGGGGATAAATGATCAAACAGTTAAGACCATGGGATTTACAATGTTGACAGTCATAAATGGAAATCAATCTTCCGAAAGTGAATTTCATGTAGTTCCGACAAATTTTCCAATTATAGGCGATGGTATTTTGGGAAAACCATTTTTAACGGAGAATCAAATTGTCATTGACGTAGGAAAAGGGGAAATTACATCAAAATTAGATGACGTCACAACTATTCCAACTAGATGTGAAACAATTATTCCAGTAGATGTGTCAGATCTACAAATTCAAGAACATCACAGCATACTAGTTTACGCTCAAAATATAAATAATGAAATAATATGTGGAAATATATTAAATCAAGTAAAAAATCATCAGATTCTCATAAGTATAATTAACCCAACAGAAACTCAGATTGTGGTAACTACACCAAAACTAACAGAGTTATCACACGAAATAATAAATGAAGAATCAATAAAACATTTTATACATACTAATAAAGTAACAAAAAATGAACAAAATCGGATTTAACTTCTAAAGAACTTTCTCAACAGATCATATGAATCTTGAAGAAAAAGTATCCATTGAAGAATTATGCAGTGAATTTTCTGATATATTTTTTCTCGAAGGAGATAAAATTACATGTACAGACGCTGTATATCACGAAATAAGAACACCAGGAACAACACAACAAATCTATCAACGACCTTATAGACTTCCATATTCACAGAAAGAGGAAATAGATAACCAAATTGAAAAATTGGAGAAAGATGGAATAATTGGGCCCAGTGATAGCCCATGGAATGCTCCATTGCTAGTAGTGCCAAAGAAAATCGATGACTCAGGTGAGCAAAAATACAGAGTTGTAGTTGATTTCCGTAAATTAAACAACCTTACTGTGGAGATGCTTTCCCAATGCCAGATGTCAATACAATCTTGGATCAATTGGGAAATGCAAAATATTTCTCTCGCTTGGACATGGAGAGTGGTTACCATCAAATTCCAATGCGACCGGAAGACAGACAAAAAACTGGTTTTAGCACCGAAAAGGGCCATTTTGAGTTTAATACGATGTGTTTTGGACTAAAACGAGCTCCGGCAACTTTTCAAAGACTTATGAATCAGGTACTTATTGGTATCAACGGTGTGAAATCTTTTGTTTACCTGGATGATGTAATCGTTATTGGAACATCTATTAAAGATCACGAAAATAACTTACGAGATGTATTTAAAAGATTTCGTAAATATCATTTGCAACTTCAACCACTGAAATGTCAATTCTTAAGTAAAGAAGTAAGTTATCTTGGTCACTTGATAACTGATGAAGGTATTAAACCAGATCCAAAAAAAATATCGTGTGTAGCTAATTATCACACTCCAACAAATGCTAAAGAGCTAAAATCATTTCTTGGATTAATAGGTTATTATCGAAAATTTATCAAAGACTTCAGTAAAATATCAAAACCATTAACATCTTTACTAGAGAAGGATCAACAATTTATATGGACGGATGCTTGTGAAGACGCATTTCGAACATTCAGAACCATATTGACCAAGGAACCAATACTTCAATTTCCTGACTATTCTCGACCTTTCAATATTACAACAGATGCCAGTAATTGTGCAATAGGAGGAATATTATCGCAAGGAAACATTGGGTCAGACTTGCCAATTTCCTATGCATCACGCACATTAAATAAAGCTGAAATAAATTATAATACTACTGAAAAGGAGCTGTTGGCAATAATTTGGTCGGTTAAACAATTTCGTCCTTACATCTACGGTTGAAAATTTAACATCATAACGGACCACAAACCTCTATCGTGGATGTTTGGAGTTAAAGATCCAGGCGCTCGTCTTACTAGGTGGCGACTTCTGCTAGAAGAATACGACTATTCAGTCATTTATAAACCAGGAGTTCAGAACACAAATGCTGACGCTCTTAGCAGAATAGCAGTTTCTACTACTTCGGCAATTGCGCCTCAATCGACTAGCGAATATAAGAAATTTCTTGAAGAAATATCGCAACGTGTCATTATAAACAATAATGTTACTGAAACAGCGGGTAATTTATTCGATGCTGCAGATGAATATGCATTAGGATATTGTGTTTCTCAAGATTTTTGTATGAAAAAAGGGATAGGTCTCGAATTTAGAAGAAAATATGGTCAAATTAAACAGCTAAAAAATCAAAATAAACTGGTAACAGAAATAGCATCGTTACAAGTAAATGGAAAAACTATTCTTTACCTAATTACAAAAGAAAAACATTGACAGAAACCTTCGAATGAAAAAATGTTTTTAACTTTAAAAAATTTACGAACTTTCTGCGATTCAAATAAAATAAAAAACTGGCTTTACCAAAAATATCTTGTGGAATAGATCAATTATATTGGTCTGAAATACGCACAATGATTCGATTCCATTTTAAAGGCTCTGAAACCAAAATACTAGTGTTCATTGATGACACATATACAGAAGAAGATAAATATAAGATTATCGAAGAATTTCACAATTCACCACTTGGAGGTCATCAAGGAATTTCCAGAACAATCAAAAGAATTAAACAACAACATACATGGAAAGGATTGAAAAAAGATGTACAAAATTTTATATCGTCATGTCAATCATGCCAGCGAAATAAAACCCTTAATAAAACCGTCAAACAACCCATGGTTATAACACATAAATCTTCCAAACCATTTGAACGTATATTCCTAGATATTGTTGGACCAATTACCAAGACTAAAAAAGGAAATAATTATATATTGACACTACAAGACGATTTAACGAAGTTTTCTGCTGCATATCCGTTAGTATCTCATGATGCAAATTCGGTATCGAAAGCATTCGTTGAAGGTTTTGTATGCCAACATGGAATACCGGAGTCAATCTTAACAGATTTTGGTACAGAATTCATGGGTAAAATATTTGCTGCCTGTTGTAAGCTATTGCAAATAGATAAACTGCACACGACACCATATCATCCTCAATCTAATGGTGGACTTGAAAGGTCACATCAAACGTTAGCCGCTTATCTTCGACATTATGTCGATAAACATCTTGATGACTGGGATGACTATGTACCGTATGCAATGTTTGTATACAACACTACAGTACATACAACAACCAAACACCAACCATACGAATTAATATATGGATTCCCTGCCTCAATACCACATACATTAAGCAGAACTCCTCAACCTAGATACAACTACGATGATTATGTCTTCGAGTTGAAACAAAAACTTCAAGAGTTACACAAACAAGCTCGAGAAAACATATTCTTAAGTAAAGAAAAATCCAAAGAAACATATGATCGAAATCGACATGAAATTAACTTCAATGTAGGAGATCGAGTTTGGATAAAAAATCACCAACCGAAAGGCAAATTAAGTCCTAAATGGCTTGGACCGTATTTGGTTACTCAATTAGAAGACAATGAAAATTTCATAATACAAAAAGAACGAAGAGAAGTGAAAATACACATAAACGAACTTAAACTGTGTGTTCCATAAAAAAAAGAGATAATATAATATCATTTTGTATTATTAAATTTAAGTGTAAAAAAAAAAAAAAGAAAAATTATAAATAAATATTAAAATTATAAAAAAAAAATAAAGATAATAATAATATAATATATTTCACATATCAACTTGTAGTCAAATAATACACAATGGTTTTTCAGGATAATGTGTATGATGGAATCTCTTATTAAAACAGAACCTTTGTACAACATCTCGTATGCAAAAGAATCACCAGGAATCTACTTCGACTACATCTCCGACATTCATACAACAGCTGCAAATTGGGAGATAGCAATATATTCAAATGTGTCCATTTATCAGGCACATTATTTACAAATCAAAAATTTTCAGATTGAAACTCTAGGACTTTGCAATGAAGCGACCGAAAGTTTTTCAAATGAATGCAGTTTCTTATGCTTAAAAAAGAAATTTTATACTTCTGACATTTGTTCGTTGTTTAAGACTACATCAGAAAAAGTTTTGACCGAATTTGAATTTGAAACTAACAAATTAGTCCAAATAGTTGAAGAACAGGATCATTCAATACATAAACGTGATGTAGCCAACAGTATAAAAGAAATGATATATACTCTGTTCGGGTCTATAAAAATAGACGATGTCTATAAATTTTACTCAAATATCAGAACAATGTTAAAAAATGGACAGAAATCTCAAAATTTAGCAGAAAGTAAATTAATAATTACTCCTGCGAATACTAATGATGCAATAATGATCAATAAACCAAGTATAGATGCAACGACGGAAATACAAAATAACATAAGACAAATTTGCCGATTTATTTTATCAGAACGAGAAGAGTTTAGTGATGAAAATATCAAAATTATATTGGAAAATAAAATTTTAAATCTAAAATTAATATATAACCAATATGCTTTAGAAATATTAAAAATCATTCAAATCTTACATTCGGCTATGTTTGGGAAGTTACACCCTTTAGTAATATCATCAAATCAATTATTAGATAAAATTAAATTGATAAAATTAAATCTTTCACCTGACTTAAACATTCCTGTAAAATTAGATGTATCTGGTATGTCTGAACTGTATAGAATAATGCAAACTACAATCGTTAAAAGTAATGATTTAATTATATTTATCAATACGATTCCTTTAGTATTAAGTAACATGTATAAACTATATAATGTTCTACCAAACCCAGTATATTTAGAAAATAATAGATTTATGTTTATACAACCTAGGTTTAAGTTTATAGCCATAACTATTGATCAGGAATATTTTATTAACTTAAGTGAAAACGATGTTAGTTTGTGTACTGATACAAACCGTTTTAAAATTTGTAAAAACCGATTAGCCAAAAGGGTAGTGACATCAAATGAGTGTGAAATAAATTTAATTTCTTACTCAGATATTACAGAATTAGCAGATTTTTGTAAAATAAAATACACTTCATTTAAACATGGGATTTTTCATAAACTTATGTCTTCAAACTCTTGGATTTTCACGGTAACAAACCAAAATGTAATTTTAACGTGTTTCAATAAAGATTCGATAACAGAAGTATTAACTGGATCAGGAATATTATCACTAAGCGAACAATGTTCCGCAATTTCAGGAGGTTATCGCATGATTCCGTTTAGAACAATTTATTCAGAATTAAAATCAGACTTCATACCAACTATGAATTTAACTAAATATATACATAATGTTAACACAATAAAAGAATATGTATCCCCAAATAGTTAGTTTAATTTGTTTAAATTAAATAATATAATATAATATTTAAATTAATATTATATTATTAAATTAAATTAAATTATTTGATAAATGATAAAAAAAAAGCAGGCAATTTGATATGGGCCAATGAGAACGTGGTATACATAAGACGCTCTGTGGCGTCCTAGGTTTCCTAATACACCGCCCGGACAGCGTACGACGGATACGAACCCGGGACCTACGTGTTTCCTACCTAACGCCTAACCTACTTGGACAAAATTTGAGATATGAAATACGGTCAAAACATCA